AGCTTGCCATAACCTCATTTGTACCGGTTCGTGGTACGAACCGGCACTAAATGGTGATGGTGGGTCCATAGCCTGACCGCAGGCTGCCACAGCCTCTTTAGTACCGGTTCGTGGCATGAACCGGTACTAAAGGTTTACCATGAACCGGTACTATTGATCACCGCCACGAGCCGGTACTATTGATCACATTAGTGCCGGTTTTTTTACAAACCGGCACTAATGTGCTTCATATTTGACCCTTTTTCTACTAGTGAGAGGGATCACTAGCCCAGGTAGCATCAGAGTAGGCCTGGAGCTCAAGAGAGCTGGAGCGGGGAAAGAAAAGGCGGTGAGAGATCGTGCCACTAAGATATCATAGAACACGGAGGAGATGACTATAGTGGACAGAGGTGGGGGCTGAAACGAACTGACTCAGAATGTGGACATGATAGGAGATGTCAGGACGCGTAATAGCAAGATAGACAAGACTGCCAACAAGGTGACGATAGCGAGTGGGATTAGGGAGAGGATCACCATCATAGGCACGAAGCTGAACGTTGAGCTCCATGGGAGTTACAACAGTGCGCTCTTCACCAAGAGCAGCGCGAGCAAGAAGACCTTGAATATATTTTTCTTGGGAGATGTAGAAGCCATCAGAGGTCGAGGAGATCTCAATCCCAAGAAAATAGCAAAGGGGACCAAGATCAGTCATGAGAAACTGGTCGCGAAGGCGAGCCTTAACAAAGGCAATGTATTCAGAGTCGTCACCAGTGATGATCATGTCATCAACATAGAGAAGGAGAAGAGTCCGACCACGAGGAGACGTGTGAACACACAACGCGGGATCATGATCACTGGGCAAGAACCCAGCGGCAGTCACCAGAGAGGCGAAGTGCTCAAACCAGGCGCGAGGGGCCTGTTTGAGACCATAGAGGGAGCGACGAAGTCTGCAGACCATACCATCAGGAGCATAGTACCCCGGGGGTGGCTGCATATAAACCTCCTCACGCAACTCGCCATTGAGAAAAGCATTCTGAACAGAGGCCATAGCAAGAAGAGTGCGGACAGTGGTCATGTGGGCCACAGGAGCGAATGTCTCATCATAATCGCGCCCCTGCTCATGCTGAAATCCACGGGCCACAAGACGAGCTTTGTAGCACTCAAGAGAACCATCGGAGCGAGTCTTAATCTTGTAGACCCACTTGCAAGTGATGGGACGGACACCAGAAGGAAGGGGAACCAGATCCCATGTGCCAGAGCGCTGAAGAGCAGCAAGCTCTTCGGCCATCGCAAGCTGCCATTCAGGCTGAGTCATGGTAGTCCGATAGGAAGTGGGCTCAGCAATAACAGAGAGACCATACCGATCAGGGGAGTAGCGATCAGGCGGGGGGCGAGGCCGAGCACGGAGGTTGTGAATCAGGGGAGGCGTGAGAGGTGAACCAGAGGTGGAAGGCTCGTCAGAGGAGACATCCTCAGTACGAGATCGACGAGTATAGTGGAGAGGAAACGGTGAGAGAGGGCGACGGATGGGAGATGATGGTGGAGAGATGGAGGAGGAGGATGGAGAAGATGGGGTCGGTGGTGAGTGAGAAGGAATGAGAGGTGTCGGAGGAGGAGGTGACACATGAGGCACGTAGCAGGGTGTATTGATAAGGAGAAGGAAAGAAAGGTCGTCCACAGAGAAACTCGAGGAAGAAGAACGTGGGTAATAAGAACAAGACTCGTCAAATGTCACATCACGCGAGATGCGCAAGCGATGACCCACTGGATCCCAACATCGATAGCCCTTATGCTCATCACTGTAGCCAAGAAAAACACACTCAACTGACTGAGCAGTCAGTTTGGTGCGTTCTCGAGGGGCAAGAAGAACATAGCACACACATCCAAACATACGAAGAGCTGAGTAGTCAGGAGAGCGACCAGTGAGACACTCCAGAGGAATACCACCCTGCAGAGCGGTCGATGGCTGAATGTTGATAAGATAAGTGGATGCGGAAACAGCCTCAGCCCAAACATGGGGTGGAAGGGAAGCAACAATCATCAGCGCACGAGCCGTCTCAAGCAAATGACGATGCTTTCGTTCGGCAACACCATTCTGAGCATGAGCACCAGGACATGAGAACTGGGCAAGAGTACCCTGTTCCGCGAGAAAAACACGCAACAGCAGAGAGATATACTCTCCAGCGGAGTCAGCATGAAAAATACGAATGGGCGTGGTAAACTGGGTGTGAACCATGGCAGCAAAACGTTTGTATATAGGGAGAACCTCACTACGAGATTTCATAAAGTAGAGCCAAGTGTAGTGAGAGAAATCATCAATAAACAAAACATAGTAGCGATGACCACCCTTCGAATCAAAGGGAGCAGGACCCCAGACATCAGAATGAACTAAGTCAAAAGGACGCTCAGACACAGACTCACTAGTAGGGTAAGGTAACTGAGTCTGTTTGCCAAGTCTGCAACCATTACAATGTAAGGAGACATCTCCAGATACAGACCCTAAGAGGCCCTGACGAACTAAAGAAGACAAGCGAGAGCCACAGATGTGACCAAGGCGATGATGCCACTGCTGAAAGGACGCAGACGAAGAGGCAGCAAGAGCATGGGAGCTGGCTGAAGTAGTGGCAGCAGAAGGAACACAAAGCCAGTCAACCTCCTAAAGGCCCTCAGACTCATGGCGCCAGGGGCCAGCACCAACCAAAGTCTTGGTGCGACGATCCTGAATGGAGCAAGAGTCGGTATCAAGAATGACATGACAACCAGAAACTGTAAGTTGGGCAGCGGAAAAAAGATTCATGGTAAGGCGAGGAACATGCGAAACACTAGGAACAGAAAAAGATGGAGTGGAAAGAAGACCACGCCTAGTAACAGGAAGAGGTGTGCCATCGACAATAAGAACATTAACAGGTGAATTAAAAGGTCGAAGGGAAGACAACACAGAAGAATCAGAAGACATATGAAAGGAGGCTCCAGAATCCAGAACCCGAAAAGATGTACCTGACTGAGTAGATGCCTGCGGTGATGAAGAAGTGGATGCAGTTACAGCAGCAGCGGAACCAGTCAACGAAGAGCCTGAGGAAGCCAAGAGACGCTTGAGCCTCACAATGTCCTGGTCGGTGAGTGACGGAGTCGAGGAAGATCCAGGAGTCCCACTGGAAGAGGAGCGCCTCTGGTCTCGCTTCTTCTCACGGCAATCAGACTCTAGATGACCTGGCCGAGAGCACTAGCTACAGAAGGTGTCACATCGCGACTGGCCCTTCTCAGCATAAGCAGGGCGACCCACCCCCTAAAGGCGTGGGTAGGAGCGGTGGAGCAGTGAGCCGAGCTGACGACACTGGAGCCCGAGCAGCCAGGACAGACGGGACCACCAGCAAACCGGCAGAGCGAAGGCGGGTCTCCTCAGCACAAAGCTCGGCAAGCACCTCCGAGATAGGAACACGACCATGAGCAAGCAAGTGAGCACGTCTGGGCTCAAACTCAGAGCGGAGACGAGATAAAAACTCATGGACCCGCTGAAACTCCAAGTCAGACCGCGTAGTCTGACAGCAACGGCAAGTTCCACAAACAACTGTCCTCAGTGAGTCAAGCTGACGCCAGATGACAGAACACTGTGAGAACTCATCAACAGACGAGTCACCCTGTTGGAGAGCATGCTCCTGACGCACCACAGAGAGGTAGAGGGCATCACCAGAGGGCTGATAGCGCTGACAGAGGTAGGACCACATCGCTGCAACAGTACCGAGGCCCATGAACTCTGAAGCAAACTGAGGAAGGACACTCGCAGTGAGAACGGCAGCAGCTCGAGAATCATCATTGCACCATTGAGTGTAGGCAGACAGATCATCTCGGTAGACAGAAAGAGCGTCAGAATAGGCAGATACCTACCGATCATAAGCATCAACTGCAGCGTCATCAAGGGCCTTGGCTGCATCACGATCAGCCTGAGAAGCATCAGCAGCAAGCATTGGCGGAACCGGCGGAACAGGAGCCACCGGAGCAACGGGGCAGGGCGGACAAGCTACGTCGCCAGAGAGCACGCCCCACAGCAGAAGACCGCGCATATGGATATGCATGAAGCCCACAAACTCAGCATAGTTGGTGCCATCAAAGATCACCGAGCAGCGAGGAACAGCCACATAGCCCGAAGATGACATACTGAAATATCTCGCTGTCTGTCTCTTTTTTTTTGGTCAACGCAAGCAGACCCGAACTGGATCGGGATCGAGCAAGCGCTATATACTCTAAAAATTTATCACCTATAACGTAGCAAGGGCGCAGGTTCTCTGATTTGGACTCTGTTTTTAGGCTGCTGAAAAAAGCTGCAGCTGCTTGTATTGCATACTGCGAATCTGCTAGGGTATAAGGTTGGTACAGAGTGAATCGGTTTGAACTTGACAGACCATGACAGGCTATGAGAAAATAGAGTTGGCTGCTGATACATGCTGTAAGTCAGCAAGCTTGTCTTAACATATATCGTCCTAACATTTACACGTCACAAGGAAAACTAAACGGACCTACTATGCTACAAGATACAAGGATTATCATAACATTTACAATTTAGTGGCCTGAATGAAAATTTTATTCTGAACCCTTTGATGTGACATGAAATATATTTTATACACTACTAAATTGTACAAATAACATAGGAAATAAACATATCATAATTGTGTCTTTTTTGCTGTAGGTGATGCATACCTCTTGTTCTCGAGGAATTCACGAATCTTGTCAATAAGCTGCTTCGCATCAAGTATCATAAGATCTGAGTGAGAGTTGCCGAGTTCAATGAGGATATCCTTGAAAATCTTCTTGATGTCAGGGTTCTGACCGACGGGGACAAATGCCCGACAATCAAAATCACTTTTGATCTTTTCCTATACTGCTCTGGCAAGAGTGGTCTTGCCCAACCCACCAAATCCAACGATTGAGACCTTTTTAAATCTCTTGTTAGAGGCATTGTCGTCGGTCTCCAACGAGAGCAGCCTCATGAGGTCCTGATCCCTCTTCCCATAGATGCCAACGAGCTATGTCGCTTCTGTGTACAGAGAACGGAGACGAGGATCGATGGCAATTGTTTCACTAGGATTAGGAGCAATACCATCAAGCTTGTTCCTCTCACGCCTAGCAGCCACCTCCTGGAGTTGCTCCTTGATTTCCTTGATGGCGTCAGCTATCCGATGGTGATTCTTGCCTTTCTTGAACAAGCCTAACATCTTGCTCTTGAGCTCCTTGAATCTGCCGGTGTTGTTGTGAGGCTGCTGAATACCTTCGACACGTACGAGGAAGTTGTCGACGACATCCTCCATGTTGTAGGAGAGCTCTCTGACTTCATCGGCCCAGAGCTTGACTTGCTTGTCGAGCTGGTCCCGTGGCACCTCACCAACCTTGACGAGGGCAGCATGCATGCTCTCAAGCTCCTTCCGAAGAAACTCGACATCTTTCTTGACGCGCTTGTGCAGGTTGTACTCATCCATGAGCAGCTGGCCCAGCTTGGGGAGCAGGCTGCCCATGGCACCCGTGACGTGGTCCATAAGAGGAGAAGGAGCAGCTCTCCGGACCAATCAGCTGGACACCTGCAGATGGATGAATGGAGGGGTCTGTAACGCAATCCAAGCTCTACAACTGAGTTGCCAGGCCAAAAGTTAGATAGATCCAGGCCAAAAGTTAGATAGATCCAGAGCAGAACCCAGCGGTTGCGTCTTCGTCGGATGGTCGCGGCGGAGGGGACAACTAAGCGGAAGCGGAAGCGGAGGCGGCGCACGAAAGGGCAGATGCTTGAGGGTCGCTGCACCCGATCTGGATATGGAGGGGATGACGCGGTTGTTAGGTAATCCTGATTGATTAGTGTTTGGCTTGCTAGCTGAGACGTAGAGTTCAGGTTAGATACTAGAGTTTGAGTCAGTATATTCCTGCATGTTGGGTTAGGAGTCAATTAGGAAAGTATATTTGGTTGTCCGTGTAGGCTTTGTATAATAGAAGTCAAAGTCCGTATTGGTCTAGGCGTGGGCTAGGATTAGTAGTTTTGAGTCGGTCATGTAGTCTGAGTCGGTTAGCTTTTGTCTAGGCCGTGTGTATATATATGCAGCCAAGCATAGCTTTGTAACATAGTCAAGAAAAGGAGAAAATAAAAAAGAGGGCACGACAAGAGCCCTTGGCTATCAGTTTTGTGTGCACGTGTATTCGTATAATTTTATGTGATCGATCCTGAGGGCAGAATTTCCAACAATTGGTATCTAGAGCAAGGTTCGGGGGCCGAGCGCTTGCCCCGGGGTTGCGACCCGACTAGCGCCTCGGGGCGGGCAATGAAGTCGCTGGGTGGTGTAGCGACGCAGAAGATCAAGCGATCGTCGTTCGACGGAGCGACAAGGAGGGAGGCGGCAGGCTGTCGTCATCAAGGTGGCGGAAGGAGGTCGTTGATGGGAGAGGTGGTGCCGAGGTGCGGTGCTGGGGCTCATCAAGATCGTCGTCCGGGGGAGTCGGATGAACAAGGAGGCGTGCGAGTTTGCACGTCCAGCCGTCGTTGCGTCTGTGAGTCGTCATCGTGTCCAAGTGCTCGTCTTGGTGATGATTCGTTGCAAGTGGAAGCGGTGTGCATGGTGTTCCGTGAGTCATGTCCATGTCCTCGTGGAGCGTCCTGGTTGCGGCCAGTGTGGATTCGGTGTGATGCCGAAGGCGGACGGTGGTAGGCGAAGCCATCGTAAAGCGAGGAGGTGTGCGACCGGTGGAGAGTGGATCTACTGCAAGCAAGTACAAGGAGTATGATGCGGACCGAGTGCAAGGCAGCGGCTAAGCAATGGCGGTGGCACAACATTGTAGAGCAAGGAGGCGCTGCATGTTTCCAGGCGGGTCATACTCAGTGTACGGATATGACAGTTGAAGATCAAGATCGATGTAGTGGGACAGTGATCAGTTAAGTTGAACGACGTCAAAACTGATGATGTGTCCAGTCTTGCACGTTGCACACGTAGATGTGACCGTGTGGGCTGATAGTCCAGATCATGCATCGGAGTTTGAATCGACAAGTCGCGAATCTACAACGAGTCAAGATGAGAAAGAGCATGAGGAAGATGACAAATTAAGATTAGGGGAGATTGTTAGGTAATCCTGATTGATTAGTGTTTGGCTTGCTAGCTGAGACGTAGAGTTCAGGTTAGATACTAGAGTTTGAGTTAGTAATTCCTGCATGTTGTGTTAGGAGTCAATTAGGAAAGTATATTTGGTTGTCCGTGTAGGCTTTGTATAATAGAAGTCAAAGTCCGTATTGGTCTAGGCGTGGGCTAGGATTAGTAGTTTTGAGTCGGTCATGTAGTCTGAGTCGGTTAGCTTTTGTCTAGGCCGTGTGTATATATATGCAGCCAAGCATAGCTTTGTAACATAGTCAAGAAAAGGAGAAAATAAAAAAAAGGACACGACAAGAGCCTTTGGCTATCAGTTTTGTGTGCATGTGTATTCGTGTAATTTTATGTGATCGATCCTGAGGGCAGAATTTCCAACAGCGGTGGCGGCAATCAGAATCCCCTTTGATCTTCACTCGATCTGGAAGAACAAGAAGTTATAATCTAGCAAATCAGTAGATTAATAAGTACCTGTCGATGAGAAAGATTTCAGAAAGATTAGACTGAGTTACCGGGTCAGTCAGTGGATTTGATGCATCATGCTCTGAATGACTGCAAACTCCATGGTTTCTTGCTAGCTATTCCACTTCCACCCTGGATTCAACCAACACAAATAGATCAGACTCTCAAGCAGGAGAAGTAACCAGTTTTGTTGAAATGTGAGATAGGCCTAGAGCCCATATGATAATTTCAGATTTGATCTCTAAGGGCCCATGTAGGTGGCATGACAAGATGGTGGGAAGTTTAGTCCCACCATGCTAGTGGAAGAGAAGTTGGAGTGGTTTATAAGGGTGGCTCTTCTACATGCTATTGAAGCTTGAGAAGAGAAGAGGCCCTCGCGTGCTCCTCCTCCGCCGCCCGCCGCGCCGCGCCGCGACTCGGACGTGGGTCAAGCCCACGTCTCTCCAAGCGGCTGCGCCTATATAAGTGTGCGGTGTCTTCTAACCCTAGCCGCCACGAACAGATCGCATCTGCTCACGCGCACGCCCACCGTCGTTCCTTTGCTGCTGCTGCCGCCGGTGACTCCATCCCGTCCGCCGCGTACACGGTCGACGGGAGAGCAGGTCTCTGAAACTCCGTCTCTCTGGTTCCTGTACGGGAGAGAGGCGAATAGGTTTTTGGGAAGCGACTACGCGACTGCTCGCCTCCGATCCACTACTTCCTCTACGCCCGCGCCGTCTCCGTCATCACCATGTCAAGCGACGCCGAACGTGCCGCCGCCGAGAAGACCGAGGCCGACAAGAAGGACGCCGCTGCTGCCACCAAAGCCGCGGCCTCTGCATGGCCTACTGGAAGGTATAGCTCGTTTATCCCGCTCCTGATTACTTTCATATTAGCAGTACTAGCAGTATGTGTAGATTTGTCTACTGTTTGCTTAGTACGTGCATGTTTAGATCAAAGTCAGTACATCATCAACTTAGTCCATGCCATGCTAGTGATTTACTCGTGGATTAATTTAATCGAGAAATTGCCTATTTACTCAACAATCCAAAAACCTATTATGTGTAGGAATTTTTCGGCAAGTGGCTTTGCCGCTGCACTCAAACCGGATAAGTTTACCGGTACGCATTTTAAGCGTTGGCAGACAAAGACCACTTTATGGCTCACGGCTATGAACGTGTTCTGGGTCACCGGTGTGTCCACGGGAACGATTGCTCCTGAACAGGAGAAGGCGTTCAGGGAGGCAACCACTGTGTTTCTCGGAGCTGTTCTTACCGTGATCGGAGATAAACTGGTCGACGCATATTTACATGTGCATGTCGCCAAGGACTTGTGGGAGGCGCTCGAATCTAAGTTCGGGGCCGCCGATGCAGGGAGCGAGATGTATATTATAGAGAAGTTCCATGATTACAAGATGGTTGAGAACCGTCCTGTACTGGAGCAGGCTCATGAGATAATATGCATTGTTAAGGAGCTTGAGCTTCTGAAGTGCGAGTTACCGGGAAAGTTTGTCGCGGGCTGCAGAATCGCTAAGCTCCCCGATTCCTGGAGGAACTTTGCCACCACTCTGAAACATCAGAGGCGTGAATTCTCTGTGAAGGATGTCATTGGCCATCTGAGTGTTGAGCAGAATTCGAGGGCAAAGGACTCGCATGGAAAAGTGGTCGAAGGGACTTCTGTCCCCAACATGGTGAACCAGAGGAACTTCAACTCCCACAAGTTCAAGGGAAAGAACGGTGTCCAACAGAATACCGACTTCAAGAAGAAGGGTAAGAAGACCTTCAAGAAGAACAGGAAGGATGAGGGCTGCTTTACTTGTGGTTCGACTGAACATTGGGCCAACAAGTGCCCAAACAAGTTTAAGAAGTCAGGACAGGACTCCAAGTCTGTTAACATGATTGTGGACAACAATGAGAATGGTGCATCTGGGTACGGTAATTTATTTAATGTTTTTTCAGTATTCCAGCCTACCGATTGGTGGGTGGATACAGGTGCAGGTGTTCATGTGTGTGCTGGCATTTTATTGTTCTCTTCTTACCAGGTCAGAGGCCACGGGTCCGTATTGATGGGGAATGGCGCGAGTGCTTCTGTTCATGGTGTTGGCACGGTCGATCTGAAGTTTACTTCGGGAAGGATCGTGCAGCTGAAGAACGTGCAGCATGTCCCCGCCATCAAGAAGAACCTCATTAGTGGCTCCCTTCTATGTAGAGAAGGGTTTAAGTTGGTATTCGAGTCTAATAAATTAGTTGTTACTAAGTATGGACTATTTGTTGGAAAAGGTTATGAGAGCGGAGGGATGTTCCACCTTTTCCTCGCAGATTTCTGTAATAAAGTCGTGAACCATATTCATTCGAGTATTAATGAATCTGAGGTTTGGCATTCACATCTTTGTCACATAAGTTTCGGTGTTATGACGCGGCTAGCTAAGTTGGATTTAATCCCGAGTTTCACTTTAGCCAAAGGTTCTAAGTGCCTGTCATGTGTGCAAGCTAAGCAACCTCGCCAGCCTCACAAGGCTGCGAAGGAGAGACACTTGGCACCATTAGAACTCATACATTCCGATCTTTGTGAGATGAACGGTGTATTGACTAAAGGTGGAAAGAAATACTTCATGACATTGATAGATGATTCCACTAGATATTGCTATGTGTATCTGTTAAATACTAAAGATGAGGCTCTACACTACTTTAAAATCTATAAGGCAGAAGTTGAGAATCAACTTGAAAAGAAAATTAAACGATTCCATTCAGATCGTGGTGGAGAGTACTTCTCGAGTGAGTTTGATTCTTTCTGTGCGGAACACGGCATTATTCATGAGAGGACGCCTCCCTATTCACCCCAGTCAAACGGGGTTGCCGAGCGGAAAAACCGTACTCTAACTGATCTGGTTAACGCCATGTTAGATACGTCGGGTTTATCCAAGGCATGGTGGGGGAGGCTATATTGACGGCATG